CAGTACATTTCATAGGTAAAAGTTCAGCTTGTTGTTTGAAAATCAAGATGCTACATAAAAAGAACACGATATACTCGTTACAAAACAACACCTATGCCATTAAAGAGAAAATGCTGCAAGAAAGTTGTTTGGTTCTCCCTGTTATGCAAAGAATACAATGCAGATACACATCTGCAGGTGATGTATGAACAATAATTTAATGGATAAAAGTGAGATTTCACACAATTGGTAAACAGTTGGCTTCTAACACTAGTATTGACCTCCCTTGGCAGACATAACCATTTAGCAGACCTTTGGCATGGTTGTCCACCACCTCTGAAAACTCTGATGCAAAAGCCCTTCAGTCTTCAGTTTAAAAGGTTTGAATCTTCCATCTCTGATTTCAAAGCAATTCCTACCCAAAGGTATTTTGATATGTAGAATTCACAGTTGTGTGAATAAACAAAAGGCATTAAAAACTATCTTCTACAAAAATATGTCATTACTCTGCACCAATACATGAGTGGTATTGAATATCTGTCCTGAGATTATTTCACATTTGTGTCTGTTTTGCGGCTAGCTTTGGTTTTGGCTTGAAGCTTGTTTCCACCACTGAAACCTCTTTTTTTCTGCCATGAATAAATCAAAAAATTTCAGGTTATTTAAAATTTTGACATCATAATTCATAATTTAAGGGTGTTTTCTCAGTTTCTACTTATTTTCTCCCAAGTTTAGTGAATCAAAATTGTGACATCAAAACCCCAAACTTTGACTTATGGATGGTAAAAAAAAAAAATGTTTCTTTCAGTTGCCAAAACAAATTTTCACAAGAAAGATCTGAAGAACTCTGACTAGTACTGGAAGTGGGAAAGGAAAAAATTATATTTGCTGATTTTCCACTGAACCGAGACAAATGTTAGGACTCATCTCTGTGGAGAAATCAATAACAATAACCACATTTGGTGCAGACCAATATAGACGTTTGTTTCCACTATTGTAAAAGTCAAATTTGGGGGTTGTAATCTCAACATTTCTGATTATTATCTCAAAATGTTGGCTTACTAACTCAAACTAATGAAATAAATAAATAAAAAATGATGAGAATTAGTTTGAAATTTTGCCTTATTGTGGTAAATTTCTTTTCCAGTGATATAAACCACCTGACCTGACTAAGATTGTAAATATGGGTTTTACGTTGATACCCATATTTACAATCTTACCTGCATTTCACTGAAGCTCCACAAGAGGTCACAGCCACCCATACTACCTCACTCCAATACAGCACATCAGTACAGAAGTATTCTGCAGTTACTGACAATGTGGTGAAAGCGGTGGCCTTTTTCCAGAGTCAGAGAAACTCTCACTGCAGCTGTGGAAATACAGTTCTGTCATTTTAATTTTAATATTTTTTAAAACATGTTCCACAAGTTTGTTGTTTCAAACAGATCTGCAGCACTGGTAGTTCTTATGCTTTGCTGTTGGGCCACCTCGTTTCTTGTTAAGTCTGAGCAGCTGTACTGAATAAGAATACCCCTCTTCAAAACACAAAAGAGTTGTTGAACCAGAATCTGGTTTCAAACGGGTGGCATTCACCTGTGTGTGCAGGGACAGCGTTACATGTCCAGTGATACTCAAGTGTTAACGATGAATTGCCTTAAGAGTTTTTCAGAGCACTTCCAGACATTTAAAAGGATTTTATTCAAGCAAAACACAAACGGGAACTCGTGCAGGAAAGATCAGCAGGGGGTAAGGACCGTTTCTTTTTATTCGTAGAGTTTACATTCACATTCAAACCCTTCATTTTAAAGTTGGTTAAAAATGCTCAGTTTTTTGTTTTTTTTTAAATTATCTATAATAGTAATATCATTACAATTTCCCCTTGAATATTATGATTTAATGTTTGCTGCAGAAGCTTGTTCTCAATTAAATATGTTAGTTTTGTCCTCTCAAACAAGCTTTGACTTGAAGTCAGTGGCAGCCAGCTACTGTATTACTTTCAACACTGGTGTCAAAGTAAACTTTGTGTTTCCTACTCTATTTTTATTTTTTTCAACAACATTTTTAAGAAATTGAAGAAAAATAAAACGAACATGGATACAAGAAAACACAAAAAAATTACACAAGGTGCTTCAAAATATTCTTGTTTTCATAAAAAACAATTAACTCTTGCATGAGTCAAAAATGTAACAAACTAGCACCCTTGTTAAATAGTGCTTTTGTTACGTTACATGGATTATAATCTAATTAATAACTGAAAATAAGACAACTGATATTTCTGAATTACTTTAGTTTTGTTTGACACTCCCTCCATGGGGGAGAGACTGTACATGAGCCAAATGAACTATTTGAACTAACTACATTCAGGATTTTCCTCCATCCTCTCTCTGGTTTTCACAGGACTCAGGTGGTATTCCTCTGACCTGCAAGCTGTGTTATGCTGTGGGTGGGGTCCCACATCTGATTACCTCAGTAGCTATTGGTATTTCCTTGCAAATTTTCCTTCTGGATGTTGTAAAGGTAAAAGTTCAGTACTTCCCACAATATAATGTTCTGTACTGCTTCTAATTTTAAGTGGCTAAAATATCACAGATGGAGGCCTTCTATGTTTCCATGATTTTGTTTGTGAGTCGGGCCTGGGATGCTGTGACTGACCCTCTGGTTGGATATCTTGTGAGCCGCAGTAACTGGACGCCCATTGGCAAACTCACTCCATGGTTGGTTGAGCCACACATTTAATACGCATTTCACTTTGAATTTAGATTCCTGGTGCAGCACTGTGCTCAGCAGAGCCATCAATCTTTATCTCACAGGATGGTTATTTCCACTCCATTTGGCATCTTGTCCTATCTGCTTCTGTGGTTTGTGCCACGAGGCTCGATGTCTGAGACTGTCAGCGTGTTGTGGTTCCTCACAGCGGCTTGCCTATTCGAGTCCCTCATGACTGTAAGTTGTTCGCAGGCAAAATCACTTTCATTTCCAGTACATTTCATAGGTAAAAGTTCAGCTTGTTGTTTGAAAATCAAGATGCTACATAAAAAGAACACGATATACTCGTTACAAAACAACACCTATAGCATAGACTGTATGGTTAGTCAGGTCATGATACCACGCCTTTCCCCCCCCTCTCATTTTTGATATTGCACATCCTGGATTCCTCTTCTCACATCTTAGTCCCTCCCACCAGATATGCAGGCAAAAGAGGCAAGAAAGACGAGGAGGAAGGTGTCGGGGTAACAGGAATTTAGTCAAATGAGACTTCCTCACCTCAGAATTGTCTTTTGAATGATGTTTGTCACAACCTCAACATAAATAGTTTGGTTATAGCTCAGGTATTGTTCTATTTTATGATTATAGGTGTAACAGTATTCATGTTTTTTTTTTTTTTATTTATTCAGACAACATGGCACAGTCTGACAAGATACAATACCCTTTTTTAAATCGCACACAGATACGTTGGACGGCATAAAGTTTGAAAAGACATTTGGACTAGCTAATTAAAGAGTCATCTTGTTAGCACTTAGCAGCTCAAGCAAGATAAACATTAGGTGGGATAACAGGCAGGCAACACAGACGCTCTGATAACGAACCCCAGCTAACAGAGGCTTTGAATACACAGAGGAAAGTGGAGACCCCTGGGGGAACTAGAGACAGCTGAACTTACTCGAGGACAGTGACCAAGAGGAAGCAAAACTAGACACCAGGAGACAATGACTAAAAAGCAAAAGAGGAAGTGACTGTCAGTCAAATGTGAAACATTGCACACTGGTGAATTTAACAGCAAAAAAATAAATAAAAAATGGAGAAACAATTCAACAGAAACAAAATGCAGCAAACACAAACATCAGACAGGAACTGAGAGAAAAGAATACTACTAAATGCGTGACAATAAAACCTAAACCAAGGAACGATAGGAATTAATGAATAAACAGAAATCACACCCTGAGAAATAAAGAGAACTTAAGAACAAGCAATCAGAAACCAGAGGGCCAAAAAAATAAAAGAGAAATCTGAATATTAGCTCTGAACCCTTGTTAGCTCTTTGGTCATCTTTCTGGTGACTGAAATTCATAATACTCTGATCCTACTGTTATTTTTGCTCAGAGCCATGTCACCATGGCTACTGAGTTTCACACCAATGGTGAAGTGTCATTTGGCATCACGTTTTTCTTCCTGTCAACAGTGCTACAATGTCCCCTACCTATCACTGAATATGTTTCTGGGAGGAAATCAGAGAGACAGGGACTCTGCCACAGCCTACAGTAAGAGTATTGACTCACTTACATTCAGAAACTTCATCAGACGCCAAACTAAATGCAAAGTGTTTTGAGTTTCTTTACTTTTTTGGCCAGGAATGAGTGTGGAGATGGTGGCAATGCTGCTGGCATCAGTAATTCAGGGACAAGTTGTGGCTGTGTACAATACAGAGAAGCAGGAGGCCTGCCGGGACTGGGACCAGGACCATGAAACACCTCAAAGCACGTCTTCACCACAGACTGCTTCCTTTCAACAGACGGTATGCTACTCTACATACACTCTAAATACACTCTTCTTTATTTTCTGTTATATTTGGATTTTCATATTAAACATGGCCAAGCATATATAAAAGCACATTCAGGCTTCAGATTGATCTAGACACCAAATGTTTTATCTACACCAGTTTTTTCTACTTTTAGCTCTGTATGATGTCACTGAGGAAGCCCCACCCATTTGCTGACCGATCTTTACAAACTAGCCAATCTGGTTATGTCATCATCACACAGCCACATCCTTTCACGATTGCCGTTATGGCGCAGGTAGTATTCTCGGTGCTACAGTGTTCCTGAACAATAGGTGTTGGCATAGGAGGAGAATAAGCTAACCTGGAAGCAAAGAAAGTTTTGTCCACAAAGTCTCATCTTTCCAAACTGTTGCGTCATCCTCTTTATTAACTACAACTCTCTGAGCTTCTGCACTGATTATCACTGAAACACCAGT